GAGATACGTTACTGGTATCAGAGCGATTCGCTGTCGCGAAAGTAGTAGGTGAGGGGTGTGACTTCTAAATGCTTCTACAACTCTTAATCACGTCGTGTATATGGCATATCTCGAAGCAGAGAGCCTACTGCGGAACGGTTCATATTGTTTTTTGCTTGTTGTTGTTGTTTGTTGTTTGCGAGCACACATATTGCTCTATATAAAAACCAATGTCTTCAGACGAAACCATGGTTAGTGAAAGAGTGGTCACTTAGACAGATTGAATCTTTAAGGTTTACGAGCCCTTATACGTGCCTACAAGTCCTATGTAAGACCTCTCGTAGAATCAAGCACTACGGTTTTCAATCCTACAAAAAAGAAATACATATACGCACTTGAGAAAGTGCAGAATAACTTTACTCGTAAATTACTTATCCGAATTGGAGGGTTTCTGTACTCTAAAATTCCAAATGCAGCAATAAGGAACAGGTATCTAGGGTTGCCATCGCTACAGTCGAGGCGCGAAGTTTTTGACATCTGCTTAGTCCATAAGATGACGCGAGGCTTGTCTGGTTTTGGAATTCCCAATGTCTTTAAAATGACATCCTCAAGAACGAGGGGAGGACTCAAAAAGATTTCGCTCACACGACCCCGAACTAACCTCTGCGCAAGGAACTTTACTTTCAGAGCGGGTAGTCGGTACTTGAAGTTAGTCAAGAATATGCCAGCTAACTTGTCGTTAGCACAATTCAAGCATCGCGTAGCCAACACTCTGTTAAGGTACTAAAAATACTAGCATTTTGTGAGACTGATTTCGAGATGACTTATTCTATGTTCTATTTACTAATCCAATTTAGTTGTGAATGTTCATATCGATTGTTTTATTGATGTTGTGTTGTTTTTTTAACGTGTGCCTTATGCAGACGTAATAAACCTTAAAACTTAAACTAAAAAGCTGGGAAAAAATACTAGTGAGTAGATGGTTTTTCAACGTGATTAAGTACCACTTATAGAGCATAGACCTTGTACTTCATCAGGGTGCTCTTTTTGCACGAAATTCGATTTCAAGAAAACTGTAACCATTTGAGTTTTAACCCTTTCGGACCTGAATTTTTCCCCGTGGAGAAATTTTTCTTCTAGCTATTGTTTATTACTTGTGAGCATATAGGTATCATTATGGCGAAATTTGGAAGCTATTCGATCACAAACAAGAAACTAAGAAGCTTTGAAAATTGGCCCACCTTCTTAGTTTTTAAGCTTATGTCGAAACAATTCGAAATTTCATAGTTATGCCGAAAAAGTTTATAATCTTGCATAACATTATAACCCATAATTTTGATTTAGGAATGGATCCACTTCAAGTATTTTAAGAAAAAGTCACACTTACTTGGCCGGTTGCGGGGGTCAGCGCCCATTCACTGTTGCACTTGTACACAAATACTTGCAATACTAACAGCAATAAACAATGAAATGGCCGGTTAAGCTCATAATTAGGAAGGGGAAGGTTGACTGAAGCAACCTCTAGCAGGATTAGAAAAACCATGCTGTTTCAGCGGAAATGCAAGCGTTTGAATTTGGTGGTGGCAATTGCCACCGCCAGGGCCGAAAGGGTTAAAAGACCAGTATTCTCAGAGAATAACCGGACCGCTGCAGTGCTCCTGACCAGGGTGAAAATCGTGTCGAGTACGTGGTCGCAGAGGTACGACCCCCCCCCGAAATCGAGATCCTGGCACGACCCCCTCTAACAGAGCAAATTAATTCAATTAAAATAAATCCTGCAAAACAAATCAAAAAAAATCCTGCAAAATAATGTTATGGACGCCTCATCTTGTCATCTTCATCGCTGCACACTTTTGTGTATTTACTGAAATATCGACTCGAGGAAAGAGGCATTAACTTTGTGTGACCTCAAAGTCAGGTTCGTTCAGAAATGCACAGAAATCCTGAAGGCACGGGGTTGCGATTCAATCTTGATTCCTGCTTGAGTATATCGAAACAGCCGAGTGTATCAATCAAAGGCCGATTCAACGGCAGCTGCGGCGCGATTGTCACTGGGTCAGATTTGCTGAAATCCCGAAAAAAAACGTCGAAATCTACACCCTCGATGAAAAGGTTGCATTCCTCCATTTCATAACCTTTGAAGCAGTTTGAGGTAGGGTTAGATAGAGCTGGATTTCGCGTTTCCAAGAATTGAAATTGCTCTGAAAGCCTTCCATGCAGAAAGATAGGGTCTCTCAAATTTCGTCGAGTAAACGTCGAGGACGCTGAAATTTTCACGCGAGTTTTTGCCACTTCAAGAGCAATATCTCTCTAATGTCGTAAGATCCTGAAAAAGGGAAGATAGTTTTGGAAAGCGGAAGGTTTGCGCTTTCTGATGGTCTTCTTAGCTTTCTTCTACATTTCCTAGTTGAGAAGATATCTGCGTCGAGTATGTAACGAGGACGGATCCGGCCACCTGAAAATCCGCTCCCTTCTTCACCATTGCAAGTGTAATTGTTGGCAACGCTTGAAATGGGTCTAGAAAACATCCTCCCAACATAAGCAATAGGAAAAGGGGCAATCGTCATCATCGAATTTTGTCTGAGTATAGGCCATGCATCCGACCTCACTCGAAGTTGCAGAATCGATTCGAAGGTGTCATATGATCATGACCAGTTGACAGAAGCTGCATTGTAGTAAACGCATTTCGTAACTCCTACAACCTAAAGAACAACTTCATTTGCCCAGGGCTTTTCCTTCACGGTTGTCGTTTTTGCGACAGGGTCCCTAACAACAGTGTCATTCTCAGCGAGGTATTAAGGGAGAAGGAGCGAGCGATAGGCAGAGGAGGTGCCTTTGCAGCGCGTGCGCACATGTGGCAGTCTTCTTTGCGGGGATGCACTTTCATTCTTTGTACTGCCTTCAAATACGCCCTTCTCATGAAGGTGGAGGAATGGAGCGACTGAACCTGCAAAGAAAATTTAATATCATGTTTTTTCAGATATTTTCATTTTCTGCTGCGCTATACCCTCTTACCTATCTGCACCACGATACCACTGCTGTTACTGACCCCCCAAGAGTACCCACTAAATCGGGCCCAGGTACAGCTCGGTTAAATCAAAATCCAGTCCCGCAAACCATGCCTAAAAGCCACTTAAGGTTCGGTGGGGGAACCAGCACGTCACTCCGAAGTGGCGCGCACTTTGCGGTCAGTATGGGAGGGCTGACGAGAAGGGAACGGCGTCGCAGGGAAGCTTCATCTAGTTGGGATCGGAGCGTAGGATCGCTAACATGGAAATCACGATAGGGTGCTAATCTAATGACGAGCGGTAAAAATTGAAATACAATGCCTACAGGAGACGTGATGGTAGAAGCTGAGCTCAGGCAATGGTGTTGGCTTCAAACCCTCTGCTCGTGAAGACACCAGTTGCCAAGACGT